CCGCCCAACCACAAAGAGACTGTGCAGTTACCTGAAAGCAGCTCTAATCCCAGCCCACTCTAGGGCCCCCTGCAGGACCCATCTCCACCTTGAACCTCAGGTTCAATTCCCAAAAGTCCTGGGGCAGGTACCAGGTGGATCCGGGGACTCGCCCAGAAGGGCGTGGTGAAGGAAAGCCGTGGTGACGTAAGGGAGCTTCTTAAGGGGCTGCACATGGGGACCCGGGGCCTTTTTGTTCTGGCCGCGCTGGCTGGGTTCTATAACCTAGCTCTGGCCTATGTTTTACCTTGGTGTCTTCTGGAATAAAAAGACATTAATCTTACATAGAGGGATACTCTCGCAGCCTAAGCCCTCCTCCAATTTATATGACACACTTTGAAGATCCCCCAAGGAAGGCCTCACTCTCTCTGAGGAGCAGAAAGGGGTTGAGATATAGGGGGTCTGTGGGGGGGCAGAGGAGGAGGGGGGAAGAGGGAACTGAGATTGACATGTAAAAGAAGCTTGTTTCTAATTTAAAGAAAAAAGAAAAAACAAAGAAAGCAGGCTGAGCAAGCCATGAGAAGCAAACCAGTAAGCAGCTCCCCTCCATGGCCTCTGCAACAACTCCAGTCTCCAGGATCCTGCCCTGTTTGAGTTCCTGATGCGACTTCCTTCAGAGATGAACAGCAATGTGGAAGTGTAAGCCAAATAAACTCTTTCCTTCCCTACTTGCTTCTGGCCATGGTGTTTTATTGCAGCAATGGAAACCATAATGAAGATACAGGGAAAGTCAGCCAAAACATCTTTCACCTTGATGGAGACAGAAAATGCCTTTGTTCATAGGTATTGAAGGAACCAGCTTCCTTTTTGGCAGCCATAACAGCCGAACACATGCTTGCCATAAACCTGCCTTGGTCACTTAGAGGTCAGATGCCTGTCTCGTGACAAGGAACCCATCAGAAGTTAGTCACTAGAAAGTCAGATGCCTGTCTCGTGACAAGGAACCCATCAGAAGTTAGTCACTAGAAAGTCAGATGCCTGTCTCGTGACAAGGAACCCATCAGAAGTTAGTCACTAGAAAGTCAGATGCCTGTCTCGTGACAAGGAATCAATGGAAAGTTAGCTGGTGGCGCTATGCTTTACGACCCTGGGTGTGCTTTACGGACAAGCGCACAGCAATGAGGTAGAGAGCATAGCAACCACCCTGGGAGGGCCTGTGGGCCATAACAACCAGTTGACCAATCAACACAGGGCAAGCCCTCCAAGCCTGGAAGCACACCAATCGTGAGCCTGTGAGTAAGCCTATGCGTACCCCTAGACACTCCCCTTACTTAGCTCGTTAAACTACAATAAAGCCTCATGCAATTTGCATCAAGCTTTCGCCTCCATTCTGTGATTGGGGTGCCCGCGGTCCTGGGCTAAGATTCTGGAAGCCTCAGCTTTCCTAGGGTCTTACATTCGGGGGCTCATCCTGGATTTGCGACCACCCCTCACCTGAGTGGAGTCGATCTTGGAGGTAAGCAGGTACCCTGTATTGTCTGTGTCTTTGTGTTTTTTGTACCGGCTGAAATCTGGTTCTGTGCTTTGCAGTCGCTCATGTCTCGGGAAGAGACAAGAGCTCTGGTCTCGGGAGGAGACAGAGTGTGCTTGGGAGATCACCAACTGCCACCTGGAAGACGTTCCAGGAAGTCTGTGGGAACCTCAGGGACGCTTGGGAGATTCCCGTCGGGGAGCCGGTGAGGGTATGGTAGTTCTCCTGGATTGGGGAAGTTATCCGTCCTCCCAGTCATCTGTATTTCTGGAATGGTTTTGTCTGTCTAGGTGGAGACAGACATCTGATAGTTTTTGCCTGTGTGTCTTGGGTTTGTTTTTGTCTTATTTGTGACTCTGATGATGGGACTGACCGTAACCAACCCCCCTCAGTCTGACTTTTGACCACTGGACGGACGTTAAGGACCATGGTTAGTCAAACACCCTCTTTCATTGAGTCACGTGGCTCCATACTAGGTAACTTTATTTTCCACTCTTTGTTTCTAATGTCTTATTGGTCACCAAAAGATACCCTTCAGGTTTCTGTGTCCTCAGTTTTAAGTTAATTTAAAAATAATTATATATATATATATATATATATATATATATATATATATATATATATAAACAAACCTGTATATATATTTTCTCATTATTCCTAGAGCTCTCTGTACTAATTAAGTTGGATCTTATGCATTAACTATTTAATTGATGCATAGTACCTCATCATATGAAAATACTATCATTTATTTATTACAGAAATTGTTCATTCAGAACAGGCCACTGTTAATGATAATGGCGGGGGTGGTGGGT